ATTATTATCAGTATTAACAGTTTTATCAGTACTATTATTATTATTATTATTATTATTACTATTATTATTACCATTATCATTATTATTATTACCATTATCATTATCATTATCATTATCATTATTATTATTATTATTATTATTATTATTATTATTACATGTTATTATTATTATTATTATATTAGTATTATTAATATCATCAATTAGTATTATCAATATTGATATTATCATTATTATCACTATTACGATAATCAGTGTCATTGTCAACCTCTCATCAAGTACATAATTAGTGTCATCCTTGTGGTTATTATCGTTACTATTACTATTATCTTTATGAAAATATGCTATTGTAAAAGCAAGAGTAATGATGATACACTGATTATATAATGTTGATAATAAAACACTGCTGGAAAACTAAAAAAAAAAAAAAAAAACTGATCTTAATCATAATATCAGTAGTGATGATTTTTCTATTGGAATTACTCTTTTGATTTTGAAATTTTTTTTTTACCATTATCATTATACTGACATTACCATACAAACATCAGACAGAGTAACATCATAATCATCATTGTTCTCCTTTCCCTTATCACGTAAACTTGTACAAGCTTTCCTACTGATATCAAGTTACACGCAGTTTGTTGGATTGGCTTAAGTTTATGGGTTAGCGTCACACACTAAGTTAAATAGCCTGTTACTCGAGACACATAAACCCAAGATTTCGTCAAACCCTTCTGTACTTAGGCCTCTTCTTGGAAAGGTTGGCGTGGAGGGAGTGAGAGACAGGAGGAGTTGATTCTCTTTCTTTCTCTCTTTCCTTTCGTTCTTTCTTTTTGTTTTTCTTTCTTTCATTCTCTCTGTCACTGTCTGTCTGTCTGTCTGTCTGTCTCTCTCTCTCTCTCTCTCTCTCTCTCTCTCTCTCTCTCTCTCTCTCTCTCTCTCTCTCTCTCTCTCTCTTTCACTTACTCTTTCTCTCTCACTCTTCCTCTCTACATTTTCCCCCTTTCCTTTCTCCCTCATGCTACACCTTCCTCTCCGTCTCCCTTTACCTCCCTCTCATTTTCCGTCAACTGCAGTTTTATCTTTACCGCAGGTTGTGAACTACGAATCTCCAAGGGGCGGTGTAACAGTGACGATAGAACGAGGCAACACATCCCGTAGTTCTCTCATGATACAGGTTTGTCCTTTTTTGATTGTAGCTTTATCTTCTAGCTGTTTATGCTCATATGTATGTGTACACACACATATATATATGTGTGTGTGTGTGTGTATGTGTGTGTGTGTGTGTGTGTGTGTGTGTGTGTGTGTGTGTGTGTGTGTGTGTGTGTATGTGTATGTATGGGTATATATATATATATATATATATATATATATATATATATATATATATATATATATATATATATATACATATATATATTTAATGTCTTAACCCAAAGCCCACAGGTATGGCATGTATGTACATACTCTGTGAGTTTACTTTGTAAATTGTGTTTACACATAGATAGCTACACTTGTACTAAGTCACCAATGAGCCAATTACGAGTACTGTCTGCCTCTCTCGTTTGCTCTTTTCTTTGATTTACAAAATTATTTTTCGGTATCTTATTTTGCTGTTACTAATGTTTATAACATTGTCGTAATTATATTTTCTATAATAAAAATAACACCATCAGTCTTCATAGCATTAGCAAAAAACACGTTTTTTCCCGTCAACTCAAGAAATGGCGAAATTACGGTCACAAGGCCTGCTAATTGACTCCTTTGTGCTTAAGGACAGTGCACTTCTGAAAACGTTGATACCAGTCCGAATAAAGCTGAGGCTCATGTGATCTGAACCACGTCAGAGCAGCTCTTTTTACATCTTCAACCGATGGAAAGTGGTACCTTCCAATGACATTAAAAGATCTACATTTGTTTACTGCTGATCTGGACGCACAGCCTAGGGACCCATCGATTGGAATGCCTGCGCTTGATTGCTGGCTTGAGCCCAATCTCACGGCGAGAAAACGACATATCGCCTTGAGAAGTCAAACGCAGGTGTCGTAAGGGAAGTCGCCGCCGTGGCACAAGTGTTAACGCGCCGGAACGCAGTTGACTAGGAAGTTGTATCCAATCAGGCAAGGGTGACATTGCCATATAACCTCTCAATAGTGAATTGAGAGAGGCCTATGTCCTGCAGTGGATTGAATGGTTAAAAAAATATATGCATATATATACATACACACACACACACACACACACACACACACACACACACACACACACACACACACACAGTTATATATATATATATATATATATATATATATATATATATATATATATATATATATATATATATATATATGCCTCCCCCCAGACACACATGTATTTATATATATGTTTATGTGTGTTTATTTACATATCACACACCCAAACATTTATATGTGTATCTGCCATGTGCATGCGACTGCATTCGTTTATATATTATATTGTTCGGATTTGCAAACTTGCCAAAAATTCTCTCGCACAGCAATAGGAACCGGACAGTAATGGTCGCTCTCCTTTCTTTATTTCACTTGATAATAGTGTTAAAAAAGCGTACTAAGTTTTTCTTTATATATTCTATTTTACTCCATACAGTTCTAAAACCACAAACTTTTTTTTTTCATCGTAAAAAAATATTGTAAACTGTAGGGTGAAAAAGAGAAATAAGACTCAGAAACGGCTAAAAGCATTGCTGTGTTCGGTTGCTGCAGAACACGACCTGAGTGGTGCGTAGAAACAGGAAGAGGAAAATCTTGAATAATAAATACAACCCTCTTTTTCCCCGCGGAATTTATTAATGTTTTGGATTCCAGTATGGTTTACGGGTGTACGGAAGGGGAAACACGCACAGACAAACACACCCGCACACGTATATAATTTATACACACACAGTGTATAAAAGTGTACACTAGATGTCAGTTTAAATAATGGATCTGTAATTTTCGGTCCAATCCGCTCAATTTGATTACAGGAGCAAACCTCAAAGTGACACGGATTTCAATGTTTCAAATCCAAAAGCTTTGAGTGCATTACTTTATATTATGTCGGGCAGCTGACGATTTAAATTACAAATTCTTGTTGAAGCAAGCCTTTTAACTCTCAAATTCACGGTGCAACTGTATGAGATAACAGTGTATATTATGATTTACATTATTATACATAATTACTTTTCTTTACAGGGCACCAAACCTCTCTGCTAACATTCCCATTATACTAACAGCATGCTGAGTAAACTGTAATTTACATTTTGACATATATATTACTTTCCTTGCAGGAAGCCAAACCTCCTGATACTGGGAATTACACCTGTGCTCCATCCAATACTGCTCCAGCTTTCATACACGTACATGTACTAAATGGTAAGTTACTCTCTCTATATATATGTGTGTGTGTCTGTCTCTTTCTGTGCCTGTCTGTCTGTGTGCCTCTCTCTCTCTCTCTCTCTCTGTATCTATCTATCTATCTGTTTATCCATCTATCCATCTATCTCTGCGTGTATGTGTCTGTCTGTCTCTTTCTGTGTCATTCTGTCTGTGTGCCTCCCTCCTCTCTCTCCCTTTCTCTTTCTCTCTCTCTCTCTCTCTCTCTCTCTCTCTCTCTCTCTCTCTCTCTCTCTCTCTCTCTCTCTCTCTCTCTCTCTCTCTCTCTCCCCTTCTTTCCTCCTGTTAAGGCTTAAATATAAACCAAGTTGTTGAAATTCTGTGTCGATTTTGTATTGCATGCACAATGATGCATCAGTAAATCATACACGTGTCAGGCATGCCCGTGGACACTTTGTATGCAAAAAGTGTTTCGCTCTTGCATGCATACGTACTTTTAAGCTGTGTGGGAAAAGGTATTTAGCGTTTTATGGAGGTAAGAAACCACGCCCGATTGCATGTGCGTGTGAATATAAACATAGTCTAGTATCTTGCCACTTTGCATCCACAAGTGGTACCCGCTCCTCTAAAAAATATAATTAGAATAATAAACCAATGAAAGAAGACAAAAAAAAAAGATAAAGAAAAGATAAGAGAAAAGATACTACGTGGCAGTGGGGGATTAAACACAAGGATTAAGAGAACCATCACAGACGTAACACATTCAACAACTAATTTTCCTTTGCCTAGAACTAAGCAATCTGTATAGCGTTTGTGTTCTGCTTGCGGTTACGTTTTATTTTTTTATTTATTTTTTTTTTCTTTGGATTGTCACAGTATAGTATCTCTTCTCTCGCCTAGAACTGTTTGTTTGTATATAGATAGATCGACAGGTAGATAGATAGATATAGTTATAGATATATAATCGTCTCCGCGATGTATTCGTGAAATAGTTGTAGTCTAGGATTCCAACTATATTGTATTTCGGCTAGATGCTCTTATTAAATAATATTCGTATATGATTAATACAATAAAAGGGTGAAAATGCCCTATGGAAATACTGAAAGCATGGAAACATTAAGAGATCCGGGAAAGAGACAAAGACAGAGTATCAAGGCAAGAGCAAGCAAAGTGCAAAAAAATCACTAAATTGTCTCTGTTGACTAAAATCAAGAATGCAGTATACGATGACGCAGAACTTCAATATGAAATAAAGGGGGGATACTTGTAGGAGCTGGATAAAACCTGAAGAAAACACGTGTTGTTGAAAAGGTTTGGGAGGAGGAAGCATTGTAATATCGCGGGCGAAGAGTGTTTGAGTTTGCTAAGTGTAATTCGTTTGAAAGCGATGAAGAAAGTCGATTATGACATTGGACTAAACGAATAAACAGACACTTCCAACGATAAAACGGAACACGGAGAAGTGTTTCATACACACACATGTGTATGTGTGTCTATATATATATATATATATATATATATATATATATATATATATATATATATATAAAGATGTATATGTATATATGTTTATGTATATGTACGTGTATATGTATATATATATATATATATATATATATATATATATATATATATATATATATATATATATAT